CAAATGTTCAAGAGCAAAGATGTCAGTTTGAGGACTAAGGTACAATCTGATCTAAGCCATGGTATTTTCAACCACCTCATATACATGTGAAAGTTGGACAGTGAATCCGGGAGACCGTAGAAGAATTGATGAGTTTGAGGAATGGTGTTGGAGGAGAATATTGAATGTACCATGGACTGCCAGAAGATCTGTGTTGAAAGAAGTACAGCCAGAATGCTCTTTAGAAGCCAGGATGGCGAGACTTCATCTCTTATACTTCAGACATGTTATAATTAGTAGGGACCAGTCCTTAGAGAAGGACATCATGCTAGGTAAAGTGGAGGGCCACTGAAAAAGAGGAAGACCCCCAACGAAATAGACTGGCACAGTGGCAGCAGCAATGGGCTGACGTGCATCAACAATTGTGAGGATGGTGCAAGACTGAGCAGTATTTGGTTCTGGTGTGCACAGGCTTGCTATGAGTTGGATTCGAGAGCAGCTACCAACAATAGCAACATACGCTTGTGGAAACTGGACAATGAATAAGGAAGACTGTAGAAGATGCGATGCATATGAATAATGATGTTGGTGAAGAATCTTCAAAGCACTATGGACTGTCCTAAGAACAAACAAAGGTGTCTCAGAAGTAGTACAGCCAGAACGCTCCTTAGAAGTGGGGATAGAAAGACTTCATCTCGTACTTGGAACGCAGTATCAGGATGGACCCGTCCCTAGAGAAATACGTCATGCATGGCAAAGAGGAGGGTGTGGGGAAAAAAGGACGACCCCTAAGGAGATAGATTAATAACGGGGCAGCAACACAACACAAATGTCAAGCTGGAACCGGACCAGGCAGTGTTGTATTCTGTTGTACACAGGGTCGCGCTGAGTCAGAACCGACGTAAGAGCAGCCCAAAGAGCCTCAAGTCCCTCCTCTGCGGTGCCCACAGAGTCACTAGAATCACCCTTCTCTTGACAAAAAAGCAGCCTACTGCTAGTGTGACTTGAAACATGGCAGAGAAAGTAGCCTGTTGAATCCCAATGTTTCTGGCCGGACCGGGGATCAGAGGTTTGCAGGAAAGTTGGGTAGCCGGCTCTGTGGGGCCGCCACAAGGAGAAGCATGTGCTATGGGAAGCAGAGATGATGGGCCCAGAGGTGGGGTGCTGCTTACCAAAACCCCCAAAATTGCCCCTCTAGAGGAAGTGGGGCCAGCATTTGGGGAAAACGGAAGTGGGCTTGAGTGAAGCTGTCTGCCTAACAGCAGTTGGGGGCTTGCCTCGGATGGCTCGTGTGATGTCAGCAGTATTATTCATGGAGACTGAGGACAAGCATGGTGTCTAGGTCAGCAGGCTGCAGAGTACCTGGTGGACATTAACCAGGACTGAACAACAACCGGGAGAGCGACCAAACCCGGAACTTCAGTGCTGACCTTCTCCTCTGGACTGGGTGTGGTGGGCTGGCCAGACGGCCTGGGAATCTTCACTAGACTTGTAATGAACTCCCCAGGAGAAGCGGGAGTGCTGGCTGGCTGGGTTCTAAGATTTCTGTGCCTTTGGGCTGAGGCTGTTGGCAATCTCTCTCCCCGTGTCATTAGGAAGGGATAAAGTGGCTTCTTTGTTCTCTGTCCCCTTACTGCGGCTTCCTGCCACCTCCACAACATTGGAGCCCAGGAGCCCACGGGGCTGGGGGAATCATTTACACCAAATCCCACACTACTTAGCAATCGTGAGATCAAAACTTTGTAAACAGCAACACCCTCACAGAAGGCAGGGAGTCACCGCTGGGCCAGGAACCCGGGCAGCTGAATCAGGGTGAACAATGGCTCTGAATGCCCCACCCTGTGGCCAGGGCAGCTTTGAGCTCTTTCCCTGCAGTTCCAGAGGTGAGAGTTTGACTGTAAACAGCCCAGGGAAGGAAGAGCTGGGGGCAGGGCTGCAGGCCTGGTAAGTCTGGCACTGGGAGAGGGCTATGAACAGAAAGACCAGCCCTGACTTGGCTGTGGGTTCCTGTTCCCTCGTGGTTATTTCTGGTGGTGCTGGAGACCATGAGTCGGCAGGCTGGGTGTGGTACCCTCATCTGCCATTTCCCTGAGCCTGGCTGCCAGCGTTCCCCACACCAGCCACTGTGCAAAAGGTTTCCCGAGAACCGCATCGTTATGCCCGTTTTACAGAAGAGGCAACAGAAACCCCGTGTCATGGTCTGGAAGTATCCCCACAAATGATGTGAAGACAGTTATGCAATGATGCAGTTATCCCCCATGATGTGATTGGAGGAGGTCATCCTTCACTGTGATGTGTTGGAAATCTGACCTCTACGTGTTAATGACCACCACTCGTCTGCCACTTTGTCGTACTGTTTAGGCTGAAGCAGCAAAAAATTTCAACAGGTGCCCAAGAGCCAAAATGTGACCTTGACTATCTCCCACCTGAGTTTGGAGATCATATCAAGAACAGATTGGATGCACTAGACACTAGTGACTGAAGACTAGAAGATAGAAGATGACATCAAGAATACCGTACATGAAGAAAGCAAAAGCCATTGAAATGACTGGAAAAGAAGAAAACACCATGGTGGATACCAGAAGAGACTCTGAAACTTACTCTTGAGCCCAGAGAAACAAAAGCAAAGGGAAGAAATGAGAAGGTAAAAGAGCTGAATAGAAAAGGTCAAAGGTTAGCTTGAGAAGACGAAGTCAAGTATTATAATGAAACGTACAGACACCTGGGAAAGGGAAGAACACACTCAGCATTTTTCAATCGGAAAGAACTGAAAAGAAAATTCAAGCCTTGGGTTGCAATGTTGAAGGATTCTATGAGTAAAATATTGAATGACATTGGAAACACCCAAAAGAAGATGGAAGGACTTCACAGAGTCATGGTACCAAAAAGAAATGGTTGATGGTTAATCATTTCAAATACCACTGGTACTGAAGAAGAGAAGTCCAAATAACACTGATGACATTGGAGAAAAACTGGGCTCCAGGAATTGAAAGCATGTAAATAGAACTGTTTCAAAAGCTGATGTAGCATTGTCTATGTCAAGAAATTTGGAAGACAGTAACCTGGCCAGCCGATTAGAAGAGATTCTTGCCTGTGCCTATACCAAACGGAATGCGGAAATAATTCAACAATATCATTAATATCACATGCAAGTAAAATTTTGCAGAAGATCATTAAAAACCAATTGCAGCAGGACAGGGAGTTACCAGAAATTCAAGCTGGATTTAGAAGAAGAAGAGGAATAAGGGATATCCCTGTTGATGTCAGATGGATCTTGGTTGAAAGTAATGAATAACAGAAAGTCATTTACTTATGCTTTGTTGACTACGCAAAGGCATTTGACTGTGTGAATCGTAACAAACTATGGATACCATTGTGAAGACCAGGAATATTCCAGAACAAGAACAAAGATGTCAGTCTGAGGACTAAGGTATGCCTGACCCATGCTAGGGTACTTTTAATCACCTCCTATACGGATGTGAAAGTTGGACAATGAATACGTAAAAGACGCGTCTGAATTGTGGTGTTGGTGAAGAATTTCCGCAGCACCATGGACTGTCTAAAGAAGAAAGAAATCTGTCTTGGGAGGAGTATGGCCAGAATGCTCTTTAGAAGCATTTGTCTCTCATACTTTGGACATAACTGTCTGGGGGGACCACGTACATGGTATCAAGGGAAGCCCCCCAATAAGATGGACTGAGATACAATGAAAACAGTGGGATCAAACATAGTAACTGTGAGGATGGAGCAGGACCAGGCAGTGCTGTTGTTAGAACCAACTGGACAGTAGCTAACACCAACAACATGTGCTCATGAGGCGGGGGTAGGGCGGGATGCAGCTCAAGTCACACCCTGATGCAATGTAAGGGGCGTTTACCTGGTGTGTGACATGCATCACCTTCTGTCTCACAAGAGCTAAAAGGAGCCGGAAGAGAGTAGGGTGAGGGACCTGAGAAAGGAGAGTTGGGAGCAGAGCACAGCCTTTGGGCCCAGGGTCCTTGTGTTGAGAACCTCTTAGGCCCAGGGAAGACTGATGTCAAGACACATGGAGATCTCCAAAGAACACCAGGCCCAGATGCTGAAAAGAACCAGCTCCTTCCTCTAGAACAGAGAGAAAAAGCCTTCTCATAAAGCCAGCACTTTAAGTTCAGGCTTCTAGCTTCGTAAAGGAGTCGAGTCCTGGTGTGGCTCTGTGGGTTAATGCGCTGGACCGCAAGCTCGGTTGAACTACAAGGTCAGTGGTTCAAATGTACCAGCTGCTCCTTGGAAACCCTATACAGGGTCGCTGAGTTGGAACTGATTTGATGACATGTCACAACAACACCAGCCACCTAAATTGTGAGAGAATCCATTTCTGTTTGTTAAAGGTACCCTTGTGGTGTTTCTGTTACAGCAGCCTGAGAAAGCCAAGACAGAGAGGTTAAGCAATGTGAACAAGGACACACAGTTAGAGGAGAAGCTGGGAACCAAGCTCAGGTGGCCAGACGTCTGGCCCATCACTTTACGGCAGCACCATGTTGCCCCCCTCTTCCCCTTGCCCCCAGGCCACTCTAGACCCTAAGGTGGGGTCGCCAGGACGCTGGGAGCTGCTGGAAAGGGGAACAGAACAGGGAGATGGCACAGGCCTGTGTTGTAATGTGTCTTTAATGCAAAAGGCCTCCAGCCCTCCAACCACAGCTGACAGGAAATTTCTAGAATCCCCACGTACTCTCCCTTAAGTGCTTAAATACCCAGGCTTGGGTGGACGAACAAGAGGCTAGACCAGCTCCTCCAAGGCTGTCCTGGGATGTTGCTGCTGCCCCGGAGTGCACCCCATTAACATGGCACATCCTAACAGCTTGTGAAGTGTGGGCCCTGCAATGCCTTGTGCTAAGTGGGAACTTAGCCTGAGCAGCCTCCTCCCAGCCCCATGTGCCCCATAGCCACCACATCAGCCAGAGGCGGCCCAGTCATAAAGTGGTGGTTGAAAGGGGCATGCCCAGCTCCAGCCTATTGACACAGCGTCTGCTGAGGATACAAACCTGTTTGCAGAACCGCAGGAATCCGATGGAATAAGTCTTTCCCCAGAGACAGCAGGTGCCGTACATACAGCTGGACCTGAAAGACATGTGGCTGGTGAGCAGAGACCCCGGATTCATGAAAGGTGGGACTGGGGTAGGCTGTGTTCCCCCACATCCAGGAAGGCTGGGGCAGGAGGGGGGCACACATCTGGAGCAGCCCTGAGCCCAACACCACCCCAGGGCGAGGCCTAGGGGAGGAAAACAGGGCTGCACTGCCCCTGGGTAAGAGAAGGAACTAGATGGAAACTGCAGGGGGGAGACTGAGAAACAGGGAGAGAGAAACAGAGGAAGGAGGGGTCATGTGAGCAGCCATGCTTGGGAAGTGTGGACAAGGCCTTCGCATACAGCTGATGTCAGGAAAGCTGGATGACTGGCAGACCCAGGACGCTGGGTGATGTGGGGCTTCCCGGGAGACATAGTACTCACTCAATGGGCTTCCCTCTGATCTCGGACATTATGGAACTTTCTCCTCCGAGGTACTCATAGCAAAGGCTCAGGAAATTGTAGATGACCAAGGCTGTGAGGAGAAACACAACTCAACAATGGGAAAATGAAGGTGATCCAACCCTTACTGTGAGCCTCAGAAGCCGCCCAGTAATATTCCATTTACAGGTTACAGTCAGCAGGGCTGAGGCGCACCGCCTCAAGGACATCAAGATGGACGTTAAACACACACACTGGTGGTCACCACAAGATCCAGGACTGTGAGGCTTCAGGAAGCTGGCAGCGGGCAGGTTCTTGTGGTGGCTGAATGGGCACTGGCTTTGTAATGACTTATTAAAGAAGTACACAGCTGTTTTAGACACTAAAGGTCACACTGTTTAAACAACACAACCCCAGGACATTTCCAGCAGGATCTCAGGAGAAATGCTAGGTAAGAATGAGATAGTGAAAGCTACCTCCAGTGGACAATCTATGGTGCTAACTATATGCCCAGGCATGTGGCCAGGGCACAAATTCTAGTGGTCATGGCCTGAGGGAATCAGCACATGGCCCACCATCAATGCAAAGACAGCAGCCAAATGTGTGCGACCGTGAGTGCAGCGCAGAGCAGACGTCCGGCTATAAATACCACACTCAGTGGTGCTCAGTCCGCTTAGGGCTGTCTGCAGACTCAGCACAAGGAAACTGCTGCCTTGCAGGGCCCTAGAAGTCAGCTGATGAGCCAGGAAGGAGGCAGAAGAGTGGAGAAGACGGAGGGACGGGAGAAGAGGTGTCCTGTAAGGCGGTGAGGCCCAAGAGCGCCTTCTCATTTGTGTAGGAGCAACTACACAAAAGTCTCACAGCTCCTTGGGCTCTAGGGGAGGGAACCCCAGCTCATTTGGTCCCCACCCAGCCCTCTCAAACTTTAAATCCCTGCAACACTAAACACAGCTGTTTCCTCTGAGCAGACTAACTGACCCTTCCACGCTTCTTTTCTTGCAGATCCTCTGGGGCCCATGCAAACTCAGCCCAGACACTTGCCTGCCGTTCTCAGGGGCTGGGCAGCTCAAGATGTGCTTAGTGACTGCAGGACTCATCACTGATTTCCAGGTTAGTTCTCACTGACTAGAACATTAGGTCAAACTGCTGTTGGGTGGGTGGATCCCTCATGTGTGTGCCACAGCCTGCTCACAACCTCTGTCCCAAACTGCAAAGGCAGCGAGTCTGCGGGCAGTGTAAATGATCTGCACTTAACTGCTAGCCTAAAGGCTGATGATTTGAACCCACCCAGCAGCACCGAAGAAGCAAGGCCTGGCAATCGCTTCCATTCAGATTACAGCTAAGAAAACCCTATGGGACTGTTCTACCTCAGGGTCACCATGAACTGAAATGGACTCAACAGCATCTAACAACAAGAAATACACAGCCAAGTGCAGCTATACTGCAGCAGATGTTAATGCTGTTATTAAGTGCAGTCAAATCAGTTCCAACTCATGGTGACCCTGTATAAGGTTCCCAAGGAGCAGCTTGTGGCTTTGAACCACCAACCTTGTGGTCAGCAGTCCAGTGCTTATCTGACAGCGCCACACCAGATAGTATTTTCCAAAGATGGCTATCTCCGTAAATGGCTATCCTTCAGCGAAGGCCAGCGTCTTACTCTCTCTTTCTGCATCTGTGAGAGCTGAGAAATAGCGCTTCATGACATTCAAGGTTGGGATTCAAAAGGCTTGAAGCACTTCTGTCTTTCTACTGGTGCTTTTTCTCTTGGGGTGCTCACACTTGGGCATAGTAACCATGCTGTGTGGAAGTCCAAGCCAGCCCATGTGGGGAGGCACTGAGGCCCCAGCCAACAGCCAGCATCAGCTACCAGACACAGCCATGAACGAGTCTCAGACACTTCCTGCCCGCAGCCTTAAATTCTCCAGCTGAGGTCTGGACATGCTAGAAGAGAGACAAACTATCTTCCCTGTCCCCTATTCAAATTCCTGACAAACATGGACCACAAAGCTCGTTTGAACTGCAAGGTGGGTGGTTCAAATTCACCAGCTACTCACAGGAAACCCCATACAGGGTCGCTAAGAGTTGGAACCAACTCGATGGGTCTTAACAACAGCAACACCAATAGGATCGAGATGAGTCGGAATGAAATCAGCAGAAAAGGGTTTATGTTGGGGGGGGGTGCTGTTGTTAAGTGTCACTGAGTTGGTTCTAACTCACGGTGACCCTGTATAGGGTTTTCGAGGAGCAACTGGTGAATTTGAACTGCCAACCTTGCATTTCAAAAAACCTTGTGGTCCAGTGTTTATCCCACAGCACCATACCAGTCCTCCCATGTTGTTGTTGTTAAGTGCCGTTGAGTTGGTTTGGACCCACAGTGACACTGTATAGAGTATCCAGGGTGCAGCTGGTGAGCTTGAGCTGCCAACCTTGCTGTTCAAATGGTTTTTCAGTCTGGTGCATTAGCCCACAGCGCCACCCCAGGACACCAAGCATTTCTACAGGACAATGTAAAAGTGCTCCATAGGGTTTCCAAGACTGCAATCTTTACAGCGCCAATGGCACTGATGAAGAAATCCAAGCAGCACTGAAGGCCCTGGTGAAAAACAGGGCACCAGGAACTGATGAATGCCAACTGGACTGTTTCCACAAACTGATGATGCAGCACTCAAAACCCTCACTTAGGCTACTCTAGGCCAAGAAATCTGGAAGACAGCTACCTGGCCAACGGACTAGAAGAGATCCTGTGGGTTAATGGACTGGATGACAAAGTCGGTCTGAACTACAAGGTTGGTGGTTCAAGCTCACCTGCCGCTCATAGGAAACCCTATAGAAGGTCGCTATGGGTCAGAACTGACTCAACGGCACTTAACAACAACAACAAGGAAAACAGAATGTGTTATAATATCATTAATAACACATGCAAGTAAAATTTTACTGAAAATAATTTAAAAACAGTTGCCAACAGTACATCCTGCCAAAATTCAAGGAGGATTCAGAAGAAGATGTGAACAAGGGATATTAAATGCTGACATCAGGTGGATCTTGGTTAAAAGTAGAAAATCCCAGAAGATGTTTGTATTTCATTGACTATACATAGGCATTCGACTGTGTGGATCATAACCAACTATGGATAGCATTGTGAAAACTAAGAATTCCAGAACACTTAGCTGTGTTCATGCAGGTTCTGTACATAGACCAAGAGACAGTTGTTAGAACAGAACAAGGGGATACTGAATGGTTTAAAATCAGGAATAAATCGGGTTTGTATCCTTTCACCATATTTACTCAATCTGTATCCTGAGCTATAATCTGAGAAGCTGGATTATATGAAGAACACACGACATCAGGATTGGAGGAAGAGTCATTAACAATCTGCGATATGCAAATCAACACAGCCTTGCTTCCAGAAGAATATCAAAGACTAACAGCCTTCAATATGGATTACAACTCAATGTTAAGAAAATGTAAGTCCTCACAACTACCTCAATAAACAACATCAGGATAAACAGAGAAAAGATTGAAGTTGTCAAGGATTTCATTTTACTTAGATCCACAATCAACACTCATGGAAGCAGCAGTGAAGAAATCAAGTGATGTCTTACACTGGGCAAAGACCTCTTTAAAGTGTTCACAAGCAAAGATACTACTTTAAGGACTAACGTGCACTAATCTAAGTCATGGTATCTTCAATAGCTTCATCTGTATGTCAACGGTGAACAATGAATATGAACACCTTTGAATGATGGCGTTCGCAAAGAATACTGTAAGTACCATGGATTGCCAGAACAACAAACAACTCTAGGAATAATTACAGCCAGAATGCTCCTTAGAAGTGACAATGACAAGACCCGGTCTCACATACTCTGGACATGTTATCTGGAGAGACCAGTCCATGGGAAAGAACATGATCCTTGGTAAAGTGGAGGGTCACAGAGAAAGAGGAAGACCCTCGATAAGATGGGCTGCCACAGTGGCAGTAGCAATGGGCTCACACATGCCAAGTGTGAAGATGGCACAGGACCAGGCCGTGTTCCATCTGTAGTGTGTCAGGTCGTTATGAGTCGGAGCAGAGTCGGCAACCCCTAATGAACAATGATATTCTGTACAAGAGCAGACCACCATATAGTTGACTATGGAGTGGCAGGTGGGTTTGAACCACTGACCTTTGGGTCCGTGGCTGAGTGTGTAACCACTGTACCTCCAGGGCTCCTTTACAATGCTACGCCCTGGGGCAATTATTTGCTCAGCCTTAAAACCCATCACTCTCCAATCTATTCTGATTTATAGCGATCCCAGTAAGCAGATAAGTATAAACCAACACGGAAGTTTCTAGAATGTGCCATGACCTCTCACATTTCCACACAGGAGCACATCTTGGTGCCCTGCTGGGAACAGCCTGCTAAGTCCTAGAGTCAGAGATGAGATGTCCTTGTCTGCTGCCACTACCTTCACTCCTCACCCTCCCCAGCCCTCAGGCCATCAGTCCGATTCTCCCACAGAGAGGGAGTGAGGGGCTGTGGACTTTGGAGTCAGACACCAGGCTGTGAATCACAGCTCTACACTGTGAGCTTTGTGACCTTGGGCTATATTCTGAAGCTCTCTGGGCCTCAGTTACCTCATCTACAAACTAGGGCCAACAGCAGCTCCTTCCTGGTGGAGTTGCTGAGATGGACCAGTGTGAAATGTGTCAGGTGAGGCTGAGCAAGCAGCCAGCAACCTGTGTGTGTCACCGATTGCTTCTCTAAATGGTGAGCTCCTCGCAAGTAAGAAGTGAGTCCAGCCATCGGGGTGCCTGACACTTGCAGGCAGTCACTCCACACTGCAGGGGTGACCAGACAAGCGTGACCATGACCATGAAGATCTGCTCTCTGGGTGAGACTGCTTGGACAACCAGGAGGAGAGAGGAAGTGCACCCTCTGCTCCATCCACCCATCAAGGAGCTCACTCTCTCAGCGCCTTTGACAAAGTGACTGGTCTTTGGGTCGTTAAAAACAAAAGCCTCAAGAGACACCACGGGGCCCTAGGCTCATCAGCCAGCCCCATCTGGAATCTCTCTCCCAAGCAAGGCAGCCCCAATCATGCACTTTCTGAGAG